TCTAAAACTGCCCCAAACCCTCACTTGGTTAGAGATCAAATTTGACATTTATTTATTAAATCTTGAGTACATGCAAAAATTTAATAAGAATGTAGAGGGTTCCACAGGATGCCGCTGTATTGTTGGAGTCTTTATGTGTCTGATCCCTCATTTCCGGTGAAAAGTGGGGGAGCAGACACACGAGAAGAGTAGATGAAAGGAAGAGGTTGTCTCGACTGTGAAGCCACAGTCAGGTTACGTAAAAGCGGAGGAAAGCCAGTCAGGACGGCAAGCTCAGGGAGCTGGAAAAAAAATATGCGTCACAGTTCAAAATCAATTCCCATTGATTTTCTGCAGTGGAATGATCTTCCAATACCCACTGGGAGTCAAAGGTACAATATGTATACCCTCACTTATAAACCCCTTAAGGAAAGACAATGCAACAAAGGCACGTGAAAAAACCCAACATCCATACATGTTTATTTTACAGGAAGAGCACGTTAGTTTCTTGTACAAACTGTAAACTAAATGGTTTTATTCTTGACATCACTTCTATGGATGAACACCAGAAACATGTACATAAAGTTAACACATCATTGGCTGTTGCATTTCAATGGAGAAATTATACAGCATTTTAAGTCTGTTACATGTTAAGTATTCTGAAAGATAGAAAGCACTTGTGTTCATCGTAACATTTTTAAACATCATCGCACAATACTCCATCTCTGCAAACCCCAACCTTTATTACTGCCATTTATTTTAGACTATTGTTTAAACAATATCTACCACATAATTGACGTTGAGGTAGGGAGTCTGTCTTCATGTTAAACAGATCGTTGAAGTGAAGCATCATCATTAAAAGCGACTCTAGTTTCAGTATTTGAGACTAATGCCTGGACGCGCAGACTGAGTGATTCTGTGCTGTCAGATTAGTTCATGTGGTCGTATGCATGTTTGCTCCCCAAAGCAACTTGTAGGGCTGCCTAGAGGAAACGCTCCACATCAAGCTGAAACATTTGTTTCTTTTTTTTTTGTTGCCTGACATAGGTAATCTTTCAAGAAAAAAGTACAAAATAGCTCACAGAACAGGCAGTGATGACCTTCAGAGAGCCATAATTTTGAACTGGAGGTTTCGAAATATGCACACACTAAAAACTACTGGGTTAAAAACAATCCAATTTGTAACCAAACTCAGGATCATTTGTAGACCGAACCACTATTGGATCGTTTTAATTAGGATTGGGTTATCAGTGTGACCCAGTTAAGTTTTCAACCTAAAAAGTTGGTTAAAATGGCTAGTTTAAGTAAAGCTTTTAGAAATTTGACTTTAAGAACACCCCAAAAATCTAGGTTATTAGATTATTACTACTTGGGCTACCAGGCTAACAGTAATCATATTTAGCATCAGCTAGCACCAACCATTGTTTTTTGGGAAACCAAACTTAGTGTCTAAAGCAAACAAAGTTTAAAAACAAAACTTGGGTAAATGTTTTCTTACAAGCTGTTTATTGTTATGTTATTACAGAGGTACAGTCTGATGTGGTTAATTTCTGGTTTTAAATGGAGGACCGTGAAGAACGACATCAGACTCAACCAAAAAGTCAAACCTATTGTTCCAATATTTGGTCCAACCAACCTAACCTAACCAATCCGGCAGCTGAGTCATCTAAATATCCCAGCAGCTTTTAGTGTGTATATAGACAGCATATATGAAAATCACAGTATATCAAGATATAAGTCTGTTAATGACAAATACATCACAAAACAATGTCAGAATCATTTCATTAAAAGTGTCCGTGACATCTATACCAAATTTCAGGTTTTCAGCCTGATTTAATGACACCATTTGCTGAAGTACAGCCACATTCAGAAATAAGAATATATAAAAAAATAAAACTTTAAAAACAATGAGTTAAATTGTTAACTGGGTTTGATTTGGCACCTTGACTTAGATTACAGAAAGGAAACAGTCAGCCTGTCTATTTAATAATAAATTCCATCCTCGTTAATGTTGGGAGCGCTCTTCATGTCGACAGAGGCAGCCAAAAGAAAAGGGAAAGAGACGGAGGAGGAAGGAGGTGTAGGGAGGAGGAACAGTCCTCCCCAAGGCAGTTTCTTTTCATGTCGAATCCTGAAAGATTAAACTCACGTTGTGTTTTATCACATGTTGGAGCTGTCGTGCGTTTGGAAATAACTGTGGAGTAAATGTTGAGGAGTTGGTGCAGGGGGGAGCAGGGTGGGATGTGAGATGATTTAGATGATTGGAGGTAAAAGAAATGGATTAGAGAGCATAAGGGGAAGTCACAGCATGTGGTACTTTTTGTACCTTCAGCACTTTCTTACATCAAATTAAATAGCCAAAGGGTGCTAATCCAAATTGTACTTTACAAACATCAACCTCCAGTTTGACAGAGCAGCAAGTGGGAGGTTGCAGGGGAGCAGCGAGGACAACGAGGGCCTTTTTGTGGCACAAGCCAAAGAAACATATTGAGTTAAAAGCTTACCCTCGCTTTGCTGCCATCTAGACATCATTGGATTTTCCAGCACAGGAAAATCAAATGCTTTATTCAAGAACAATTGCTTTCTATTGAATCGACTCTGTCTCTGATGTACAACAGTTTCACGCCGCCATGGACACAAACAACATGCTGTGAATGCTGCAGTACTGCAATAAACTATTTCCCCAGCAACACCAAAAGACTCAATGCACAAACTTTGACTTGCAAGCTAATTATATCTGATAGTTATGTGGGCACACATCTTACATAACAATAACATTCCGTTTATACGAAAGTGAATATATATATATATATATATATATATATATATATATATATATATATATGTATATATATATATATATATAATTTTATTGGTTTAAGAAATTTGATTTTATAATAATAATTGTTACGTAAGCTATGACGGAGAAAGTAGGTTTCTATTTTTAAAAGAAAAGATAAAAGTCAAATCAACACATTTTATTGCGTCATCTTTATTTGTTCTTGAAATTTTGTTCTGAACCACAGCTCTAATTCATAATTATTGTTGTTATTGTACTTGAAAATTATTTCAGAGCTTTTGAAGTGAGGTTCGTTGAAATGTTATGAACAATTAATATCTTACCTGTTGTAGATTGTCATTTTAACCACCTCAGTTTGCTGAATTCGAGTTTAAATCTGAACAAACTGATTAGTTAACAGTTTTTTTTTCTGAGCTGGACTCAGAAATTAATTAATCCCATTAGTCATCAGTTTCAATATACATGTTTATTTACATAGAATTCTGTAGTCATTGGCAAGCACAAACAGTGGCAGCAGCTAACTGTTGCACTTCCTGTAGCAGTGGTGACACTTTTGCCAGAAATATTATAAGATTTCTGACAGTACAACCATGTAATGTAAAACTGATGGTGGGTAATTGGTTACTGCTATAAGTGTTTTGAGATGGTAGTTGTTTTAAAAGAAACAATCAATTTTGGACTAGACTAGCCATTACATTGTCAATTTAGTCAAAATTAAATACAATTTCTACAAAGTGAATTGTTCAGAGTTATCAATAGCAGGTAAGATAATGCTTGTCTACAACCTACACCAAACCCACTTCAAGAGATCTGAACTATTTCTTTGATTATTCAATTTAGAGGTAATTAATCATAGTGGAATTTGGTTTATAAAGAAGGTGGAGTAATTACAAGCAAACTATTTGAAAATGCATGTATTGTTACAGCAAATATTTTGTGAAATTAGTAGCAGCAAGAAATTTAATTAAACCATTGTGCTTTTTCTGTAGTGTCTTCAACGTTAACCCTAACAACTCTTTGTCTTAATACAGCTGTTCAAACACACAAAACACGTCCGGTTCCCCCTGGGGTAATCTTCGTAATGGTGTTTTGTCTGTGGCTCTACCTCTGCAAACAGACCGACTGTCACACTGCATGCTCCACATCATCTCTACAGGACAGTATGGCTCCCAGCGTGAGCAATTTACAAAATCTGATGTCTGCAAGTTTGCAAAAGGTCACTAGGTGTCACATGCATTCCGGCTGAGTGAACCCGCTGCTTCGCCTCTTCTCTACAAACGCAAAGGATTTCCGTTTAAACATATGCATTCTTATTTTAAATTTTGAACCAATCATACTTCCCAAAGAAAGAACCATCAGCTTCACTTCAAGTGGACAGATTTAGGACTTATAATGGAGGACTGCCAAAGGAGATGACGTTAAGAAAAACTAAATTAAGAAGAAAGGTGCAGGTGCAAAATAGCCTGTTGATGGCAAGAGACAGAGGGCGTGTGAAGGAGAAAGGAGACCGAGGAAAAGAAAGCATGAAAAAATATAGATGAGAAGGAAATAAAATAAATTGCCTTGTAAAGAGCAGCAGAGATGGAGATAATGTTGGATAAAAAAGAGAGTAGCAAGGTCAAAGAAATGGAGGAAAGTTCTGATGAGACCAACTGTTCAGTCCTGACTGGCTGGAGATTGATCAGAAACAGGATACATGAAAATCATGGCAATAAATATTCTGCTTCTATGTATTTATCTGTTTCACATCTAACTGGACCTCTGAACACATATGACCTTTACATAATCTCTTGAAAATCTCCATCTTGCTTCATTTAGCTTGAATCAGAACACCGTCACTTTGGCATTTGAAAATAAAATAAAACAAATTACTATTATAATACTGGTATTCATTTTTGCAATAAAACTGTCATTTCGAAAGTAACGAAGAGCTGAAGAGGGAAAAACTGCAATAAGTAACTTAGTTTACTGCAATCATTTACCTCTTATTCATGTAACATACAAAGCACCTACCTATATGATATTTTACTAACACTACATTTTTCCTTCTCAGAATATATTTCCTTCCAGAGTAATGACATTACTGTACAGTATCCACATGCAGATGTATACATCTTAGACACTATGTAAGACAAAATGTATACAAATGCAATGTTTTTCTGCTTTATTGTACATGTTTTCAACATTTATCATCAAATGTAAAAATGTCATCAATAAATGCTGAACGTATTTTGCAGATAGTTATATCCAGGATAAAGTGCCTTTACATGAAAACATTCTGTTGGGGTTATTTTTTTTTTCCCCCTTGTGGATTTTTGTTGACAGTCAAAAGTCCCGTCACTTGTTTATATTCTTGTATTCTCAGGAATGTTTGTTTCTAATAAGTTTTTTTCCCCACCTTTCTCTTGTGTGGGTTTTTCTGTAAGCATTATTGTTCAATCCATCCTTGCCAACGTTTCCTTAACATGACACTGTTTTATGTTGCCCGTTCTGAGTTACGGGGTTGATCTTTTCCAGAGTGACCTCATTGTCACTGTCTAAGTTCCCAGAGATGGCTGGGGAGGGTTTCTCTAGAGTGTTGTTACCCATTCCAACCTCCATCACCACTCCTCTACATCCGTCTTTCTTCTGTAACTCCTCCTCCTGACACAGGATGCTGTGGGGAATCCCATATCCCCCTGCGTTGTTGCCTTCCTTTGGGATGTGGCTCTTGGGCTGATACTGACAGTTGGGGTTGGCGGTAGGGCCACCCATGTTGTTGTTAATGCTGACGATCTCAATGGCGTTGCTTCCCGGGCAGAGCCGGTGGCAGCCCAGAAGGATGGAGAAGGCCTTGCGGAAGTCTGCATTGAAGGCGTAGATGATGGGATTGAGGGAGGAATTCGCCCAACCGAACCACACAAACACGTCGAAAGTAGTGGAGCTGATGCAGGGGAATTCCGTGGACCCGTCTGGCAGGTTGACTTCACAGAAGGGAACCATGCAGTTCAGGATGAAGAAGGGCAACCAGCAGCACACAAACACACCCATGATGACCGAGAGTGTCTTTAAGACTTTGGTTTCTCGCTTGAACGACATTTTAAACGAGCTCTCGCTGTCCATGTTCGAACTAGCCCCCATGCTGTTGTGGCGGTTTTTGGCACTCTCTGCTGCTCGCTCCAGCGCAGATATTCTCCGGATCTGTTTCTGGGCAATGCGGTAGATCCGGGTATAGGTGACGAGCATGATCGCCACAGGGATGTAGAAGCTGATAAAAGAGGAGGAGATGGCGTAGGTTCTGTTAAGGCTGAAGTCACAATTGTCATCAGTGGGTAGGTCGCTGGTCCCGTTGAGCTCTGTGTAGCTGGTGGTTTCAGCTTTATGCCAGTTAAGCTGAACTGGGATGAAGGAGATGAGTACAGAAAGGGTCCATGCCACACTGATCATCAGGCACGCCACTTTTGGGGTCATCTTTCGTTCATAACGGAAAGGGCTAGAGATGGCCCAGTAACGATCGACACTGATGACACACAGGTTCAAGATGGAGGCAGTGGAACACATGATGTCAAACGCAACCCAGATGTTGCAGAATGCTCCGAATGGCCAAAATCCCACAATCTCCATGGCCGCCTTCCATGGCATTACCAAAATAGCTACCAGAAGGTCAGAGATGGCCAAAGAGATGACAAATAGGTTAGTGACCTTCGACCTCAGGTGTCGGAACTTGGTGACGGCGACACACACAAGGGTGTTGCCTATCAACGTGGTGAATATGAGCAGAGAGAGAAAGCATCCTGTCAGAACACGTTTAGATGAGTCTCTCTCTGGCGTTAGCTGCTTGCCATCTTGTACGGTTGAGAAATTTGCATCCATTGTTTTTAGTACAGTGCTAATAAAGCGAGAGATGGGGGTGGGTGAAGGGGATGTCAGCAATCACCCCATCACATCCCCAGCCTGCAGCAGCTGCGCCTCTGTCGGGAGTTCTAGAAGGACAGTGTCGCTGGTGGAGAACTGAACTGTCTCGGCACCAGCTCACCCACTGATTTGGTTATCCTCAGGCTTCTTGTCACAACAACCATTTTCATGCAAGCTCCACTATAAATGTCTCACAAAACTTCTCCTTGGAAATTCTGGTCCCCAAAATGCCATATTCACAGATTCCTGCAGCTGCAGAGCCAACAGTTGACATTCTAGTTTGTAGAGCGAAGGCAAATTTCCAGTCGTTGTGTGCACTGTTTCTTCCAGTCAGCAGTTTCTTCATAAAATTCTCTGAAACAAAAATAAAAAAGAACATATATTGCTCAAGAAAATTTCTCTATTTCTCCTCTTTTTATTTGCATGTTGCAACTACGAAGCCTTGGGCAAAAGTTCCACAGCATGTTGTTCCTGAGCATTTGAGTCAACAGAGGTTTTGCCAATCATTAGGCTTATATAGCATCACATCAATACATCGTATTGATGGTTTTCCTACTGAGTTTATCTGATTTGCTTAATGATCTATGAGGCGTGTCCCTCTGATTATACCCACCCCAGCTAATAGATGCCTTTTAAATAAATGTTTTTTTTTACTATAAAACTAGACAAATCCTGCTGGCACAATTTCTAACCACTATTCCACAAGTTCTGAACAAATAAATTAATTCAGGATTCTGAACCATACTATTTGAAGGCAGATTAAACCAAGTCAGATTTATAAGCAAAACATAATAAAAGCAATCAAAGCGATTTTTATGGTTACACAGAAGGTTAATCTGCATGTGTTTTATTGTATTTTATTTATTTATTTTGGGCCATTTGTGCCAACGCAGGACAGAATCTGCTTTCCTTACAAGAACAAAGTTTTTTTTGGCCGACCACCCAAATTATTTCAGTCAATTTCAGCTCCGTGTTTACATCTTTGAACTACAAGAGCAGTCCATCCATTCTTGCTCAGTTTTTCTGTGCGCCACGCTGCGTGCCATGTTTGGACAGCTCTGCAAACGCTGCGGTGTCTTTAGATATATTCTTAAAATATTTTGACCAAAAACTCGACCACTAATTTAATAAATGATTCCAAAAAAAAAAAAACATTACACCATGGATCGATTTGAAAATTTGATGCCAAGTTTATGGAAAAGAGCTCACCCTCTCTGCGCGCTCTTCCTTTGGGAGTCTGTGTTGACGCGGTCCACGGGTCCTTTATAGCTCCTTTCTGCTATAGTCATCCTTTGCTGTGCAACATTCAGTCAGGCTGTTCTGCGATGTGACAACGGGTGTGACTGGCCGGCGGAGAGTGATGGGAATGACTTCTCTCTCCAAGAGCGCCGCCGCGCGCGCTCCTCTCTCTCCGCTCCGCTGCTGCTGTGCGCCACGGTCTCTGCCACATCTGCTCCATTCAGGGAGATTGTCAGGGCAAAGCCATGTAAGCTCAGCCTCCACGGCTTAACGTCCCATACCTAAAGATTTTAAGCTGTGCGTTATTTATTTATTTTTCTCAATGTGTCAATGGTTTATTTTGGAAATAAAACTCTGGAGAAGTTTTGCAGTCCCTGAAGTGATGAGGACACTCTTTAGAAAATATGCCTTTTGTAGAAAACACCCATTTTCACCAAATATATGTTAAAAAATAATAATAATAAAAAAAAAAGATGGAAAGTCAAAGATGAGCTAGAACAGAAGTGGCCAACGTCCTGCGTTGAACCTGCTTCCAGTACGCACAAGAGATCCAATGAGGCCATCTACTGGATGCAAAGATAGGAAGTTGGAGAGGCCTCTGGTGACCAGATCCTGAAAAACTGAATGTGGGACAAAAAGAATGCAATTAGGACACATCACCAGTGTTGACATGCCATCATAACTTTGAATCACATTACATTAATTAATCTCTGCTTTGGCTGTTAGTGTACAATGACTTTTGAGTTAATAAGAAAAAAAGCTTTATTAAACTTTTGTTTAAAGTTGCACATTTTTTAAGTTTATAATGAGGAAAAAAAATCTTTGCTACTAAGTAACACAAAACCATGAGGTTCTCACAGGTCTACCTGCAAGCACTCACCTTGGGGAGCACCTGGACGAGCAGAACAGCTGACCTGTAGGACAGAGCTGGACACTCTGGTGATCTCAGCTGTTGCCTCGTCTGTCTGATGGCCTTCTTTGGGCATGAGTAATTGGCACTGACCTCACCCGTTTCCCAGTCTATGTAACTGTATTTCCGTTTCTTCGACATACTTTCCATTATATTCTGAGTAAACAAAATGCCTTTTCCAATTTTATTTTTTATTTTTTATTAGCATAGTGGCGCACAGGATGGCCATGATGCAGGGATGCAGCTGCGCTTTTTGATTGACAGCTGACGCTTCTCTGATGATGGAGAGAGTAAAAGAGGAGTTATCTAATGGCTGCAAATTACGGCCACTAAATAAAGCCTGTCAAAATCTGACCCAGTCAAATGTGGGACCTTGCTTCAACTTGTGAGTTGCTGGGAAAGGAGTGAAAAACGCAGGACAGTCCTGCACAATTTGGGACATCTGGTCTGTGTCACAAGAGCTAAATAAATACCCAGAGCGCAAGGACTGAATATGAACAACACAACACAAGAAAGCAAGTTCAGTGCTTTTATTTACAGTGAATAAATCACAGGAAGTAATCAAGAACACTCAGGAGCGTGGAGAAGGGTCAGCATTGAACTTCAATAGGATTATATTGGTTATATTGTCCTTTGGTTCTTACTGGTCAGTGAATGATGTTTGGATGATCACTGGTTCCAATAAGCCTGTGAGAGCAATGATAATCCAGCGTGGGAAATCACTGGTGGGCAAGTGGTTGGAGAGCAAGGAATACAGCTGGGGGAGGTCACAAGGAAGTTTCCAGAATTACACAGGGAGTCCAAGAACAGATAGGTCTCAGGAGGGTCACTGGAAACGGCAAAAGGTACAGATAACCGAACCATTGGCAAGGTAATGCTCCAGTGTTGAAGAAGAGTCATCACCTGCCTTTTATACGCTGGGCGTCTTATCAAGGAGACTGGTCTCTGATGTGGTCATTTGGTGCCATCTAGTGACCTCAGGAAAGAAGTGACTGGAACTCCCACAGTCTGACTGAGCTGAGCTGAAGCCATGATCTTCATGTGAATAAACATGGCCTCTAAAGCTGAGGCTCATGAAATCAGTGCTAGAAGCCCGTTATCATGATGCACAGTCACAAAGTGAGTGAAGGCCTCCCTTTGTTTGCTAGAAAGAAGCCACAGTAATGTAAATTATTCAATTTCATTAAAATGGTCACACCACAGTCTTTACAAGGCAATGATACTTCAGAATAAGAATAAGCTTTAGTGTCATTGCACAGTTAAGTACAGCGGAATTACATTCTGTGCAGTTGACCTAAAGATGGACGGAAGTGTACAGGGGCTGAAGCTTCTGAGAAGTGCTGCCCTTATTGCTTAGAAAGAAAAAGGGAAGACAACATAAAGAGAAAGAGGTATTAAAAAAAAAGATCTCTCACACGTGTCCTTGTCAGAGCACGGTTTAAGGAATCAAAAACATCTACCACAGCAAGCAACGTAGATAGACACAATGCATGTGCATGGATGACAAGACGGTGAGATTTGTCCATGAGCACTTCCAGATAGTTTCCATAGTCCTGATAAGATCTTAGTGTTTCTCAGCCGGTACAGCTCTGATAAATGTTCACAGAAGTTCTCGGGGGAGGGGGGTTCACTTAAGACCCAGTGTTGAATTTCTGAAAAATGAAAACTATTCAAAGACAACAATAATGAAGATAATGTATTTATTTACAGGGGAAGATGGGGAAAATAGGGTTCTGCAGGGCAACAAAGCGGTTTGAATATGAAATAGGTCAGCATCTAAGAGAAGGTTGGACAGAAGGAGAGGCTTTTACTTTGTCTTGTTTTCTTTTTCTCTTTTAGGAGAGGCTGAGTGGAGGATTCCAGAACCAGATAAATGATCCAGATCTGAAGAGGGCAACTAAGAGACCCAAGAGGTAAGTATCTTTTGATGGAAAGTGACAGGCGGGAGTAGAGGTGAGTGACACAGCAGATGTTGAACTGTGGTTCAAAGACCAGACAGATGAGGATGACTCCTTAGGAGGCCAGGAACATCTAGACAGTCCAGTCAGGAGGTAAGACTGAAAAAAAAAATGCACAAAAAGGTTTTGTTAATTCTCATAAGAATTTACAAGCAATAAAAGGCTATGGCGTTATTCATCCTAGTGAACCAAATGCTACAGTGTTGGCTTCTGGGAACATGTCAGGTTAAGTAGTGGTGTGTGGTTGTCAACTCGGCTGCAGCTGATTCCAAATGGCCCCACCTGTCACTCAGGAGCTGCAAGAAGGGTGATTAGTGGAAACAGGCATGAACTGACTGGCATCCTCACACACGGTCAAGAGTTAGAGTAAGATGTGTAAAATGAATCCAAGAAATCATAATTTGCTGTTTGTGCCTAGAAGTGACGCACGCATCAACAGAAACAGAAAAATGGACTAAAGAAGCTGCAGCTCCATGCACCCAACAGATCCAGCTGGTTTCAATATGAACTATTTATTGAGATGAAATCCTCAATGGATCCTGCTCCTGTCTGTGTGTGTGTGTGTGGGGTGGGGGGGGTCTGCATTTAGTTTTACACGTGCATGTGTGACTTAGCATGAGTGTGTGTGTATGCCTGTGCATGTGTGGTTATGCAGTATGAGAGTGAGTGTATCTGTGTTAGTAATGCATGTGGACAAGTCAAGTGTAAGAGGACTGGCAGACATAACGCCCACATTTCCCCGTAGCACTGAGCCGGGTTGTGCGTGCAGCTGACAGAGTTCAAACTAAGACCACGTCACATATGAAACACACACATTCTGTCTTGTTTGTGTACATGCAACCACACACACACACACACACACACACACACACACAACCACAGAAGGAGGATGACTTCTGTCGGCTGCAAATGGCAGAGAAAACACGATCGAATAGAATAGAATAGAATAGAATAGAATAGAATAGAATAGAATATAAATGCTCATTTGTATGTTTATGATTTGATTTAA